TCCATCTGACATAAATGTAATTTTGGAGAAATCTATTGATATTTTCAAGAATTCTATCAGTTTTGAAATGAACAATTGAACTGCTATTGTATCATGGGCTAATACCTCTGATATTATTATAAAACTAAAAGGGTGAAGAGTTGCCTGAGCGTTATTCCAATGGTAACCCTGAGCAGCGTTCTGAATAATAAATGAATAGTTCTCAGAGAAATCGCAAATTACAATTAATTCCTCTTCTTTCAGAGAATCTTTTTTGTTCCTTATAAATAAAGACTGTTTTTTACAAAAAATAAGTCATGAGTGATTAACTTATCAATTTTATCTACGAAGCACGTGGCAAACTCATCTGCAGGCTTCATAATTTTCTCCAAGTTACAACGACCCGTAGTTAGCCACTGTTGAAAAATTGCATCTTCTTTACCACTTTCTTCTAATAGTGCAGCAAGTTCGTCTGCAACTTCTTCATTGGTGGCACATTTCTTGCAAGCTTGAAAATAGCACTCTGTCGTCCTAATAGAAAAATTACAAAGCAGTTTATCCATTATTTCTTCCTGGGATACGATTCCTAAACTATTTAGCATTAATTCTACATTTTCGTGGATTGTGCACACACATACGTTAGGAGTACCTTAACCATCAAGTAGCTTACAATGTTTAGGTCTCAACATTGTAAATAAGGTGAAGCCAATTTTTAATACTCGCATACGTTTCTTCAAATATTGTATATGCCTCTTTGAGAGACATCATAAGAAGTCGCTTCTGAACCCGTTCTTTTAGGCCATTTCGGAGTTCAGACACGTAATCGTTAATTCTAGGCATTGGCCTGCTTATATCATTACTATCAAAGAAGTCTATAACAGTATTTTTGTCTAATTCACTGATTCCGTGTCTACTTCGTGCACTAGTGGTACAAAGAATACTTTGATCTTTCACTATTTTTTTTTTCATTTGTCTTACCATATATACCGGTGCATTGAACTCTTCTACGATTTTATTCATTGACCAAGAGTGCGGTAACACTGATAAAACTTTTATCTGCCCATTTCTATCATCAGGAGATTAATTAAACTTATGTTTTAATTGTGTTACCATTTCGTCGAATGCTTCTGGTTTACTGATGTCTGTTGGATCCATATTAAAAAATTTCTGTCGTACTGCTTGTGTGATGTTTGCTGATTTTGCTACACGGTCATCCATGGTCCTCATGTTCCTTAATGAAATTGGTGAAACATTCAATGTGTGAACGATGCTATTGAATATTTCCACATAATATGGTACCTGTAACTGGTCCGCTGATGCAATTGATTCTAATGATGGAATTAAGGGGAAGTTCACCGCTTCGAAAAAAATAATTACGTTTTGATTTTTCTAAAAATATTGAAAAAAAAGTATCAAAAATCTAAAATAATCACATTTTTTTCTAATTTTTAAAGAAAATTCACGTGCAAAAACATGTTTTATAAGTCATTATGGCAGAAAGTTGGACTCAAAAAACCACAAAACATCAACTTTTCGGTTTTTCTGAGAGTCCAATTTTTTTTCATGATGGGATAGAAAATTTTTTTTTGCATGTAATTTTTGACAAAAATCTAAGGAAGAAGTTGATGTTTTGTGGTTTTTTGAGTCCAACTTTATGCCATAATGACTTATAAAACATGTTTTTGCACGTGAATTTTCTTTAAAAAATTAGAAAAAATGTGATTTTTTTAGATTTTTGATACTTTTTTTCAATATTTTTAGAAAAATCAAAACGTAATTATTTTTTTCGAAGCGGTGAACTTCCCCTTAACGGTACTTCTGTAAGACAAGAGAAGTAAAACATGAATTAATAAGTGTGCAAGGTTTAAACAAGTATTTTTTTAGCCTACAAATAAAAAAGGTGTAATTTTAAATTATCGATCTGAGTATTCTTATCTGGTATATCATCAGGTTGGTGGCCACTTTTTGATGGTTGTTCATCACTTGTTGGTAGTTCATACCCACTTGTGGATGGTTGTGGATCGCAAAGATCCGAGCGCGGTTTTTTTTATGTATATCTATTGTGCTGATCCAATGCACGGCATGACTCACAAATGCGCATCTGTACATTCACTTGGTAAGTATATCCCTTCTTCTTTCTTCTTATTCGCATTTCAAGCTTTTGCTTAGCGCATATTAGCTTATTGCGTGCTCTCAACTTAGTGTTCTAAATGCACTTCCACAGTTATTAATTGAGAGCTTTCGATGCCAATACCAATGCATGAATTTGTATATTGTGTGGCAAGCACAATGATACTCTATGCCCAGGGAAGTCGAGAAAATTTCCAACCCGAAAGATTCCCTCGACCGGACCGGGAATCGAACCCGCCGCCTCCGGCTTGGTAATACCGTGCCTTTACTGACTAGGCTATGAGACCCCCTAATATCCCATAGATTGCATTTTTTGAATTAATGTTGGTGTTAAGTAACGTAGTTTGTTTCGGATGCACTTGGGATTCGAAATACCAGCACATCGTACCTTTTTTGTAACTACATCTTAAACGGGAAATAATATATATTTTCTAGGTACATTTTGTGACATTGAAACTGGTTTTCTCACTCGTTAAAAATATCTTGTTTGCGATTTATGTGATTTGATATATCGACACCCATATTTACCATAACATGTTCCGTCCATATCTCCGAAACTAGTTGACCCTTCCTTAATATTCAAAAGCTTTATAAAATATCATTTTATTTTTCATTTGGAGTTTAACTCAATCTTATTTAGTGGTAGACGTGAAACACGTCTTTCAAAATTATTAAATTTGTCGTACTGTAACCTATCAAATATGTTACATTATTTTTGTAAATAGTTTCTTTTAGTTTTTACCGAGTAGCTTAGTTAAAATGAAAATTGAATTGAACTGATTAAAACAAAATTGAATTTGAAATCGAATTCCACGAAAATATCCACTTCCTGAACATCCCTATTCCCACCCTTAATGCACCTTCCGTCAAAAGTTACCACAAAGCACAGCCACAGTTGACTACCACGATTATCGTCGGTGTGGTAGACGATCAACACCATCACACCGAGGCCGATAAAAAGGTCTGTCACCGTGGGACAACTCTCTAATAGGTGAACGAAGAACACCGTTGCGAGGTTCAGTCGCACGTAGTGCTAAAGTTAGTATTTTTTTATAGTGAACAAATCAAGTGAGATTTCCCGCGTGCCGTCGCTCGAAGAGGAACTTCCGACGCGGCCATTGTTTAAGTGCCGGTGTGCCCTCCAAACCTGCGAGTGTAGAGATCCGATCCAGAGATGCAGCTAGTGAACGCCTCCAGTGGTCCGCTCGTACCTTATTCCCGGCTGGTGATCGAACCCCGTCGTCTGGACCGTTTTGTGAAGACCGCCGAGTTTTGAAGCACGCAGCGAGGAAGGAGGAATCGTCCGGCAAAACCAAAACACTAGGCCGATGTCAGCCAGCCAAACGACGCCTCAAATCGGTAATGTGCCAGTAACCCTTGATTCCTTCATTTTCCCAATTTTTCCCAAAATTTAACGCCTAAAACATGAAAAACACGAATACACTATGTTAAACTAAGCTATTTTTGTATTATGGAATTATTTAACCACGCTATTCCCTATTTCCTCCATCTCTTTTGTTGGATCCACCTTGCTTTTTTTTAAAAAAGGAAGTATTTCCACCAATTTCTTCCTGGAGCCCTTCAAACGACCCTGAATCTCCAGACAAAGCCTGGAGAGGGACAAAAGTAGTCCCCATACAAAAGAAATCTAACAGTACCCATCCTGAAAAAAAATTATAGATTTTATTCAGTGCGAACACGAAAAAGTTTTTGTTGAATAATTTTTTTCCTTTGAAAGTGCCCATCTCGGGATGTATCAACAAGTTGTAGATAAATGGTATGCCTATCTTTAGAAAAAAATTCAGATGAAAAAAATGGCATTTTTGAAAAATTTCATTTTTAAGTTTTAAAAATAATTTTTTTCAGTGTAGAAAAAAAGGCTTTAATTATTATTAATATATAATAAAATTAATATATTTTTTTACAAAAACTCATTTATTTCTCTACAAATCATCCTTTGGCAACATTTTTGTAGGACTTGACATTATTGAGTTATAATTTTTTGAAGAAAATTATGACAAAAAAGTTCTGCCATTTCCAAAAGTTGGTCTAGATTTTTTTAAAGATAATAAGTATGCAAAGTTGCTTAAGTAGACGAAATCTATACACTTACAAAAGTTTCATTGACATCTGAGAGGGTGGTGCCTGTGGTGGTTCAGTCTTTATAGAAGGATCAAAACAGCTAGGGTTGATGTCCCTAACATTGGGCCCATCAAAAGAAAGCAGTTTAACAATGTTTCACTAGCAACCATTTGTGTTTTTCCATGCGACACATTGTTCTACGAAAAATTTAAGAACAAGAGATTTTAATCGATGTGCACAATCTTTAGATCCATAGGCCAACATTAGAGCCATTTCCCGTATATAGTTTCTTGACCAGACGTTTCGATCCCGTAGCTGTAACCAGTTCAATTTTGTTTGCAAATCTGGTTAAGATGATTAAACTAAATTATCCTAAAGATAGATCGTCCAGATTAAAACTTTGTAGGGGTAAGATGTGAGACCATCATCATCACCATCATTAGCTATGTACTAACCATCATTCCTTTAGTTTCACTAACTCACTATTGGAAAATAGGTAATGGTAACAATTCAATGTGATTTAGAGCAGGACAAACAAATGATATGTTCCAAGCCATCCTACCCAACCAATCAACTAAATTTTAGCCTTAGGCTTATTTAAATTAAATATAATTAGAAACTGCAATCGGTTCGAGCAAGCTTCTACTCATGTGCAAGTTCACTGAAGCATAACATAAGCTATGACCATAAACCCATTTTCTCCCTTCAACTGCCCGGCATTCCATTGATGGCGATGCATTGTGAACTTCTTGCGCCAGTTTGAAAATAACGTTCTGCAAAGTGTGTTCATTTCTGATAGATTTCCCACGATGGACATCGAATTCAGCATTAACGGGGAATTGTTCAAAAGTAAGAATATGCTCTGGGAATATGGAACACTCTTTTGACTAATTGCTTTCTCTTTACTACAGTTAATCCTAAGGAGGTACCCATCGAAACTTCTCTGAATACCTTCATCCGAGATTATGCCCAGTTTAAAGGAACCAAATTTATGTGTCTGGAAGGAGGTTGTGGTGCTTGTACAGTTAACGTCACGAGTGTTCATCCCGTGACCAAAGAAATCAAGACATTGGCGGTCAATTCGGTAAGTTTGAATAGCAAAATGAATAAAAAATAAGGATCCATCAAACATTCCGTTTCTTCAGTGTCTTCTACCAGTGTATGCCTGTCACGGACGTGACATCCTTACCGTTGAAGGCATTGGTAACAAGAAGATTGGATATCATCCTATCCAAAAACGACTTGCCCAATTCAATGGCTCACAATGTGGGTACTGCTCTGGAGGAATGGTGATGAGCATGTTCAGTTTAATGGAGGCTAACGATGGATCAGTGACCATGCGGGATGTGGAGGATGCATTCGATGGGAATGTTTGCCGATGTACCGGTTATCGACCAATCTTGGATGCATTCAAAAGCTTCGCCACGGACGCCAGCAAGAGTGTGACGAAGTTGAGCCGAGATATTGAAGATCTTGGAACAGATTTAAGTAGTTCGAGGAGAGCTTGTAATGGGATTTGCAGTAACTCGAAGAGAAGCGAAAAATTGATTCGCAGTATCTGCGGAGATGGGCGGCAGTGGTTCAAAGTGTATAAGATATCTGAAATATTCGAAATTTTCAATACGATTGGGAATCGACCGTACATGTTGGTAGCAGGCAACACTGCCCATGGAGTTTATCGAAGAAGTGATAAGTTGGAGGTTTTCATTGATATCAATTCCGTGGAAGAACTTCATCAACACAAGATTGGGATGGATCTTACTGTTGGAGGTAGCAGTACTCTTCATGAGTTTATAGAGACAATGGAGCAAGCAACGCTTGGGAACATAAGGTTCCAGTACATGAAAAGAGTAATCAAACATGTAAGGCTAATAGCCAACCATCTTGTGAGAAATGCTGGAACACTGGCTGGCAATCTTATGATCAAGTCTCAACATCCTGATTTTCCATCAGATATTTTTCTTCTGCTAGAAACTATCGGAGCTAGGTTAAACATATGTAGGTAAAGCTTCACATTTAGCTATAATAATAACGATAAAGCTCTCTTTCTCGACAGTAACCGAAGGCCTACCGATCAACGTATCTCCAAGAGAATTGCTCATGTTAGATATGTTCAAAAAAGTTGTCCAAAACGTGGATCTTCCGTCACTCGATCCCACGCAGTGTGTTTTTCGATCGTTCAAGGTAATGCCTGTTACCCGAAACAATCGTGCTTACGTAAATGCTGGCTTTCTGCTGAAGTTCTGTAGATCAAGTGAGGTTGTAGAGTCAGCAACGATTTGTTTCGGTGGGATAAATCCATCCTTCGTTCATGCCTCGAAAACTGAGGATTTCCTCATTGGAAAGCCACTCTTTACCAACGAAACTCTTAACGGAGCGCTTCAAACACTTTCCGACGAACTCGAGCCGGATTGGGTGCTACCAGATGCCTCACCAGAGTATCGGAAGCGTTTGGCTCAATCTCTGTTCTACAAGTTTCTGCTTAGCATTGCTTCCGAGAGCTCCATCGTTCTGAATGCTCGTTTTAAGAGCGGAGGAACAGTTCTGGAACGACCACTGTCCTCCGGTAAGCAGAGCTACGACACATATCCCAGCAAGTGGCCTCTCACACAGTACACGCCTAAGCTGGAGGGATTGGCCCAAACATCAGGAGAAGCTGAGTATGTCAATGATGTCCCTAAAATGCCGAACGAATTGCATGCCGCCTTCGTACTGGCAACAGAGATTCAATCCCGAATTGTGAAGATTGACGCTACGAAAGCGCTGGTATAATCGTGATATGGATTTGTTGAAACATTTGTTAACGTGGTTATTTTCAGAGTCTGGAAGGAGTTGTAGCATTCTTTTCAGCTAAGAATATTCCAGGCATCAACAACTTTACGTCCCTTGAGTTGGGCTTTAGTGAAATTGAAGAAATTTTCTGCAGTGGAGAGGTAGCGTTCCATGGACAGCCAGTAGGAGTAGTGGTAGCAGAAACCTTTGAATTGGCCAATCATGCAGCTCAATTGGTAGACGTGTGCTATGAAAGGATTGGTAAGTTGTTCAGAATGTAATTATCATAATGGTTTCAATCCGCAATTTTCCGTAGCCAATGAAATGGTTTACATAACCCCAAAAGAAGTTCTTGAGGCCAGATCGGACAACCGAATCATCAACCAAAACTTTGATCGACATGGAAAAGATTACAGAACTGCTTCCGAAGGACCTATCAAGATCAAAGATCAGATGGAACTTGGAGGACAGTACCATTACTCTATGGAAACGCAGACCTGCTTCTGCGTTCCTATTGAAGACGGTATGGACATCTATGCTTCTACGCAAAGTACGAACTTCATGTTGGCAGCTGTTTCGCAAGCATTGAACGTTCTGGAAAACAGTTTGAACATCAGTGTTCGCCGCGTTGGTGGGGCCTACGGCGCAAAATTGTCGCGATCTTCTCAAATTGCATGTGCCTGTGCGGTGGCTGCACATCTGCTGCAACGACCCGTACGAATGCTACTGAAATTGGAGACCAACATGTCCGCCATCGGGAAACGATCTGGAACATTTTCCGAATATCAAGTTAACGTGGATCGGAATGGTAAAATCAACAGATTATCGAATACGTACACTCAAGATGGTGGAGCCGTTTTGAATGAACCGTTGGCTTTCCTCACAAGTGACTATTTCAAAAATTGCTATCGAACCGATACATGGAGCTTGATTGGTAATATGGCACGAACCTATGTAGCCACGAATACCTTCTGCCGCGCTCCAGGAACCATGGAGGGTATTTCGATGGTAGAGAACATCATGGAGCACATTGCACATGTCACAGGAAAGGATCCCCTAGACGTTCGCATGATGAACATTTCCAAACAAAATAAGATGTACGAATTACTGCCGAAGTTTCGTAAGGACGTAGATTTTGATGAACGTCGCAAGACCGTGGACATGTTCAACATACAAAATCGTTGGCGCAAGCGCGGTATTTCTATCATCCCCATGGAGTACCCGATGGAGTATTCTGGTACGCTAAATGCCTTGGTTTCCATCTATCATATCGACGGATCCATAGCGATTACTCATGGGGCAATTGAAATGGGACAAGGTGTCAACACAAAGGTAGCTCAAGTAGCTGCTCACATTCTGGGCATTCCGTTGTCAAAGATATCTGTCAAACCCAGCACCACGTTGACATCTCCAAACTGTGCCCCATCAGTTAACAGCAGGACTAGCGAGAATGCTGCATTTGTAAGTAACTGACTAAATATTCACAAATCACATAAGTAATTCTTGAAATAACAGGCTGTGAAGAGATGCTGCGAAATGCTTCTGGATCGCCTGCGTCCTATCCGACAAGCTAACCGTTTCGCATCCTGGGAAGAAGTCATCAACCGGGCGTTCATAACCAATATCGATCTTTCAGCTACTTACTTCTATGAGCCATCCGATCTGAAGGCCTATATCATCTGGGGCTTGACTTGTGCCGAAGTCGAAGTGGATGTCCTTACCGGGAACGTTCAAGTTTCCCGTGTCGATATCCTGGAAGATGTTGGCGAAAGTATGAGTCCCGGAATCGATATCGGCCAAATTGAGGGTGCGTTTATAATGGGTTTGGGATATTATCTGACAGAAGCACTCGTGTACGACCCATCCAATGGAGCACTGGTGAACAATCGCACCTGGAACTACAAGGTACCCGGGGCGCACGATATTCCGATCGATTTTCGCATTCAGTTTCTTAAGGGCAGTTCCAATCAGTACGGGGTGTTGCGGTCCAAGGCAGTTGGAGAACCGGCGCTCAGTATGAGTCCGGTATTGACGTATGCGTTGAGGTATGCACTGCGGTCGGCGCGGAAAGATGCTGGGTTACCGGATGATTGGATTCCAATTGGTAGGTACCTTGGAACTACGAGTTAAATATAAATTGAAAATGTTGATTTCTCCTTTAAGGATCTGGAACTACACCGGAGAAAATATTTTTTATGGCTGGAAACTCCATTGAACAATACAAACTTGACTAGGCATTGCTTGTAAACGTTTGATTTATTTAATAAAACTATTGCGCACAATCAGTTTTGAAAGTGATCTTTCGTATGTGAAAAAGTGATCTTTCGTATGGTTAAGATACATAACAATCCCCTTGTTCTATTGTAGATTTTCCCCATTCCCCATTATATTGCTTAAATAATAAATTCTATGGTTATTTTATCGTTGTGGACAACACGATTTATTATAAATATAATAATGTATATTGTATGGTTATAATACATTTCATTGTATCCCTATGTCTGTTTGTTTTACCGGTTGTGCTAAATGTTGCAAAGCAACGCATATTAAAATAAGCAAATTCACAAACATCTCGTCTTAGGATGGCATTTTGCTATCAAACTTGTTTGGAACATTTATCTTAGAGCGGTAGAAGACGCAATTGTGACTGTCTCAAAGAGGAGTTATGAGGAAATGGGAGAGTTGCTATGTTGTCGTCGATTTAAGCTAATCCCTGGATATATTTTAATTTTTTAGTACTGATTTATCTAAATATGGCCGGCTCATATAAGGTTTAAGCTGTATTAAACGAAACTCTCAATCCGAAACATCGCTGCATCTTTTTTTTTATTCTGGTCGAATTCTGGTCCCCTAGGCTGAACATCATTAGGCCTAATTTTGATAAAATGGAAAATTGCGAATTTTTCCAGACGTATGTCTGAGAAGGTATATTGGATACATAACAAAGACTCGAATTTTAATTATGTGAAGAATTTGCAGTTTACAAAAATATCAAAATTGTAATATTCTTGGTAAGAACGATAATTTGGAACTAGGAAAAATTCGGACTTTCTATCTTTAATTATTATTTAGATCTCACTCTTAGAAATATCCGCATGGGAGGTCGAATTTCGAACGCCTTTGGATACGGTTGTGTTTTAAGTTCGTTCTCTGTTTTGTGCGTGCATTCGCTTTCATAGTTTTCGGCTGCATTTGCCGAATTAATGCTGGCACTTTGCCTCCCGGACGGTTATACGTGTGTGAGTGGTGGTTTTCTCGCTTTCCGAGAAGTTTTAGAATCAAGAAAGAAAACACGATTCATCATGTTTGCAAAATTACAAGCATCAGAAGATTTGGCGCTATCTGCGTGGTTTGATTTTTTCTCCCGGACAAGAAATTTGTGGCTTCGCGAGTGAAAATTTGAATTTCAGTTTATTTACGAGGTGATGAGAACGGCGCTGATCTATTGTTAGGGTTTTGCAATGTGCATTGCTTTTGTGCACGGTTCAAGCTTTAGTTGGCGGCGGTGGCTCTTCTTGACCTTCTACCCCCGGAGTAGTTAGTGTGAATAAGGGCGTCTATGTGATGTTTTGCTGTACCTGTTGTGGATAACTAGTGCATCCTGTTCCCTTAACTTGTTGAGGACACCCTGTCTTGGCTCAAAAGTTACCCTTTTTGAAGTACTAGTCTTCACAACATAAAGGGCACCATTACATAGCATGAGATTTGATCAAATTATTCGCAGTTCTACTTGTCCAACGCCCCCGGCTGGGTGAGGGATAGAGGATGACACACACACACACACACACACACACACACACACACACACACACACACACACACACACACACACACACACACACACACGCACACACACACACACACACACACACACACACACACACACACACACACACACACACACACACACACACACACACACACACACACACACACACACACAGGGCTACAAATGGTGAGTTGACAACCTAGCTCTGGTTCTCACAAGTTCCTACCTCACGCCTCCCCGTGGTGTAGCCTGGGCAATGTTGTCCTTCTGACAATAGCAAAGTGAGGGGGTGCGACGCGAACACTGGCGCGGTAACCATAACACGGCGATAGAGGAAATGCTTCGTCAACCCGCAGGAGTGCCAACCGGCACATTAGGATCGACGCCAGTAAGATCCTTATTACGGCATACTGGATACGGCATGGAACTATGGACACGACACGGCACAATGGATTGGATACCACGCTACAGGGCTGACAGTCGTGCTATTCTGCTCCCTAAGTAAAGAAGGGTGACACCTTCTTGAAATGGCGAGTGGGCTAATAGTGCGGCTGCCCCCGTCCCGGTAAAACCTTGGCAGGCCTCCGGATACGTTCAAAACTCGTCACCAATTGGTGATTGGTGAGTAGTAGGCTCAGATGTAACATTCCTGACTTACGCCGATCTGGCTCTGAACACGGCCCCCATGAAGGACCGTGTCAACCCTAGCATGGCCTCCCTGCTTGCATAGATAACCATGGGATCACGATAGGAGACTACATACAACGAGTGGAGATAGCGGCCCGAAGGGGGGACCCATCAGAATGGATAAAATTGGAGAAAAAAATAAAAATGAAGAAAAAGAAAAAACCAAAAAAAATATGAAGAACGACGGCAATACGCCAGACAGTGAAAACGGAGGAGCAAACGTGTTCGCAAGGAGTGGGATATTGCAGAGATCACCAGTGTCGAACCTGGGGGTCACTGCGAGTTCCAGCAGCAGCAGTAAGTTTCAAGAAGAGCAGCCAGGCGTTGGGCTAAGCCAGATATTCACACCAATATCCAGTAGTAGCAAATCCCAAGAACTGCAGCTCGGGAGAACCAAAATGACGGAGGTCAGGAGGAAGATCGATGATCTCTATGTGTTCGTGAAGGATAAAAACAACGTACACAAAGAGATCAAGCAACTTGTGACCGGTATCAAATCCGGCATAACAGTGGCAGATCGGGAATGTCAAGAGTGGAGAAAAAGGGCCGAAAATGCCGAAAAGGCTCTGCTGGAGGCCAAGGAGAGCATAAGACTGGCTCAAGCACATGAGACTCCGAAGGGACCCACAAATCCACGTCCTGAAAAGAGAGATAGGGACACGCCAGGAGATGAGGAGGAGCCCAAAAAACGCAGGGACGACGAGGAAGGCATCAAGGAGATGGGAGAAAATGGTGCGTGGCGTAAAGTCGAGAACCAGAAGGAGAGGAAGAAAAAACAGAAGGAAGATGAAGTGAGGAAGAAGGAAGAGGAAGCGAGGAGGAAGGAAGAAGAAGCGAGGAAGAAGGAAGAGAAGAAGAAGGAAGACAGGAAGAATAAGGAGAATCCTAGGCCTCGTAGGGAGAGAAGCAAGGGTGACGCTCTGGTTGTTGAGGCGAAGGACAAAACGTCCTACGCAGCACTCCTCCGGAAAGTGAGAGATGATCCGGAGTTGAAACACTTAGGCGAGAATGTGGTGAAAACCAGGCGAACCCAGAAAGGCGAGATGCTATTCGAGCTGAAAAGGGACCCTACGGTTAAGAGCTCAGCTTTTAAGGAGCTCGTCGAAAAATCTCTTGGCGAGACGGCGAACGTAAGAGCCTTATCCCAGGAGTCAGTGGTCGAGTGCAGGGATCTGGACGAGATCACAACAGAAGACGAGTTGAAAAGTGCGCTAAAGGTGCAATGCAACCTGGGAGACGTACCGATGGCAATTCGGTTGAGAAAGGCGTATGGTGGCACGCAGACGGCGTCGATACGACTTTCTTCGGACGCAGCTAACGAGCTGCTGAAGACTGGCCGAATCAAGGTTGGGTGGTCAGTGTGCCCGTTGAAAGCTATTCCTCGGGTATCTAAGAAAATGGAGAGATGCTACAAATGCATGGGCTTCGGTCACCAGGCGAGACACTGCAAAGGCCCTGACAGATCTGATCTGTGCAGGAAATGCGGAGAGAAGGGGCACGTTGCAAAAGACTGTACAAAGCAACCGAGGTGCATGCTCTGCAAAAAGGAGGACGGAAATGGCCATGTGACGGGAAGTTTCAGGTGCCCTGAGTTCAAGAAGGCGATGGTGGGCCAGCAATAATGAAGGTAACCCAAATAAATCTCAATCATTGTAACACAGCACAGCAACTGTTGTGGCAGTCAACAACGGAAACAAAGTGCGACGTTGCAATCATTGCAGAGCCATACCGAGTCCCTCTCGATAATGGTAACTGGGTGGCGGATAGAGCAGGAATGGCGGCCATACAAGTCATGGGCAGGTATCCCATTCAACAAGTGGTGGCAAGCTCATACGAAGGTTTCGTGATCGCCAAAATCAATGGAATCTATGTATGTAGTTGCTACGCACCCCCGAGATGGACAATTGAGCAGTTCCACCAGATGCTAGATGGGCTCACCGAAGAGCTCATTGGACGGAGACCAGTCGTCATCGCAGGAGACTTCAATGCTTGGGCAGTGGATTGGGGGAGCAGATGTACCAACGCAAGAGGGTATAGCCTGCTGGAAGCTCTGGCAAAGTTGAACGTCAGTCTGGCCAACGAAGGAACCATCAGCACCTTCCGCAAAGATGGTAGGGAATCCATTATCGACGTTACTTTCTGCAGTACGTCGCTAATGGCAAATATGAACTGGACGGTGTGCGAGGAGTACACCCATAGTGACCATCAGGCGATCCGGTACAGTATCGGCGAACGAACACCGGTGGAAATGCGGAGGACGAAAGTAAGCGAGCGGAAGTGGAAGACGAAGGCATTCAATAAGGATCTCTTCATCGAAGCTCTAAGGGTAGACAACAGCGTCCCGGGCCTAAGCGCGAATGAGTTGACCGAATTATTAGCAAGGGCATGTGACACAACTATGCCGAGAAAACTGGAGCCAACGAACAGGCGGCGTCCAGCCTACTGGTGGAACGAGGAAATTAGCACCCTCCGTGCTACTTGTCTTCTAGCCAGAAGGCGTGCTCAGAGAGCAAGAACAGAAGCAGACAGAGAGGAGCGCAGGGTGGTGTTCCGAGAGGCCAGGGCTGCACTGAAACGAAAGATAAAGCTGAGCAAGTCAAATAGTTTCAAGGAGTTGTGCCGCGATGCCGATGCCAACCCCTGGGGCAACGCATACCGAGTTGCGATGGCGAAGATCAGAGGCCCAACGATGCCGGTTGAAATGTGTCACAACAAGCTGAAAGTCATCGTGGAGGGACTTTTCCCACAGCATGACCCAACGAACTGGCCACCTACACC